CCAACCAGTACGTAGTTATATCGCATTATAACATTATGCAAGGCGTGCTTACAGCTGGCGCCTTGATCATTCGTCACGAGGTTTAGTCATGCACTGACTGAGGTCTACTGGGTTTTGCAACGTGGCAACTTGGTGCAATCAAAAATGGGTGCATTTTAGGATTTTGTTCTACCTAGGCGTGTGCACTGAATTTGTGCAATTCTGTCTAAGTTTTAGTCAAATGTAACGAGTTTTATTAGTTAAAGCTCGCCACACATCATAGAATTACTTTACAAAGTAATGCAATTAGGTAAGAAATCGGATTTCTTCAATATTGACCATTGGTAGTACCTCGATCTCTTTTTGGAAAAGGGTCACTACATTACAAAAACATCTTACTTTTTTGGCGAACTGTGCGGTATTTGTCAGTTTGAATGAACTCTATTTGAATGATGAGAATATGACAAAATACTTTGTGTCATTCAGTCTTTGGGTTAGAGGTCTAGTGGAACAGTTGCTCTGATAAGTTTTACAGGCTGCTTGCTGGTCGTTTCTGACTTGGTGACATGCGGTTGCTTCTCAGTACGTAATGTATGTGGTCGTGACACTTGCCTTGAATAAGTACATCAGAGCAACAGAGCAACAAATCCACTGTTGCTTACGTAACCAGCAGGCTGTAAATCTTATCCGAGCAACTGTGGAACAGTTGCTTCCTAAGAATATCACTATTCTAGGGGCCATTTGGCAAGATGCATCAGATAGGACAAGAGGAGTGTTGCCTGAGTTACGAAATCATTTCGCGTGTTCTTATTACTAGTATATCTTAGTTAAATGCAGTGCAAACCAAAACACCACACCCAGCTAGGGGTTAAGTAAGTGCATTTCAATGGTTACCGTAGTGATATGTAGCTAACTATGTACTGGTGATTTAACCTACCTTATCCGGGAATAGAAACACTGCTACGTAGTACTAGTAAGCAACAGTAGACCTATTGACGTATGATCAAGCCTCCAGTCCATTACATGTAGCAGTGTTTCTATTCCCGGGATAAGGTTTAATCACCAACCAGTACGTAGTTAGCTACATATCGCATTATAACATTATGCAAGGCGTGCTTACAGCTGGCGCCTTGATCATTCGTCACGAGGTTTAATCATGCACTGACTGAGGTCTACTGGGTTTTGCAACGTGGCAATTCGTCAAAACAAGTACACATGCCTATTTAGACATATTAATTCTAGAACACCAGATTGCTACCATATTCAGCATCGCTGTTCCAACCCAAATCAGAAGCACTGCCACCCACAGCACTCGCAAGGAGAGCGCTCTCAGCAGCTAAGATAAGAGTCAGTCTCGCTTTGCGTTTCGTCCTGTAGGTATGAGCAGACGTCTTTTTGCCCTAGTCCTTCTTTGAACCGATTGAGGACATGCGATTGATTTACTGAGAATACACTTCCCCGTCGTCGGCACGCAGCGCATATATACGTTTGTCAGCGCCATGCACGTTTGAAACAACACGTCGTAAATTTCACGCGACCATCGATAGGTCACACCGCACACAGCCTACAAGGTCTTCATCCGGCAGAAAATTTTCCGGCAGAAAATTTTCTCCACGATCACACATCGCTTGCAATGCGATCGTTCGAGCGGATGTCCTCAAGTGTGAGGATACCACCTGCTGGTTTCTTCTTCGGTAACACAACACGCACGACGCGTTGGATTCCTTGGTACACCTTGTCCGCTATGACGGCCCACTGGTTCGTGCCTTCATCCCCGTGGTCGGCAATGCGGTCCTCAGTGGCTTGATACGGCAGACACGTGAAACTGTTGTCGTCGAAGATGGCCTTGTCGGAGACGCTGCCCTTGTAGTGTGCGGTAGAATGGATTGCAAAGCCGTTGGGCAGGACGGACACTTCGACTTTATGGCCGTACTGGGAATGCTTGCCACTGAAGTACGTCTTCGAAGTACGTCTTCTTCTCGGCGTAACTGCCCGACAGCGTATTTGTTTGTTGAAACGTCACGTCGGTTCCGTAGCGAACGAACGGGAAGTTAGCGATTTGGTGACAACTGGTTGTGAGCAACGCCATTGAATACTTTTCGCCGACGGTAGTATTTGCGGAGGAGGAAAGAATGCATGGCTTTAAGAAAGCTCATCGTTCTCTAGAGCCGCAGTGTTTCATTGACGTCAGGAGCATCAGCAGCAGATCGCGTGCAGACACCTCAGACTTGCGTCCTGAGCCGACGTTTCAGTGCTTGGTGACGTAGGTGCGGACGTCGGCCCAGAGTACGTTGAACTCCGATGGACTGAAGTTGGTCATAGTGTGAATGTCGTTTGCTGCTTGGGTCGTAGATAGGGCTTGCAGAGTCAGGGTCTTCATCAGGTTCCTCTGGACGGACCGTGGGGCAGCGTGCACGTTTAGCCTGGCGTTGCTGCTCGAGGTTATTAAGCAAAGCGATTGCTTAGCTGATGCCGCGTGACGTGAGTTGGGTGGGCTGTGAGCCTAGAATGCTAGCTCTACGAGCCATTGAGATATTTCATGGAAGGTTGTGTGTGATGTGTTGGTTTCGATTGCATGGTTGGCTGTAAACCATACCGACTGACAACCAACGGACCTGAAGTCTCGTCGTACTGTATGTATTTTTCGTAGTTTGATTATTGTTTTATGAGATACTAGTATATTAGTATTCTTGGAATACAGTGAGTGATTTCCAAAAACATGTTGTGACTGGGATATGATTCAGATCTAACCAGAAGATCCCGATATTAATCTAGTAGTTGATCTATCAAAAATGACGAAGCTTCTATAACTTGAATGTCTAACCAGTCATGATAATCCCTACAAGAACAAATAATTGTTCTTGTTAGCTGTTCAGTCACTTGTTGAGGTTTCAGTCTATGATCTGGAGGTCTATTGATGAATTCTGAAGAATATATCAGAAACTCCGTTATTTCGGACATACGCTTGTCTTTGATTTCGAAATATAGTCGCATGGTTGGAACAAAGTCTTCACAGTCAACGAAATAACATCGTTTCTTCACAGTAGCATACTAGTATATATTTCCTACGGTGAAATGGCATTACAGTACTACGTAGTACCCGATATATTGTCCTTGCGTTTTTGGATTGGTGCCCTCCGGGGATAATCTACGAAATGTGGAATTTGTGGTGGGTTGGGCCATTCGAGTTTGCTCTACTGGTCCATCAAAGGCGCAAATTTATCCGTCGAAGTGCGGAATGAGTCAACTTCTTAAAAGCCGCATCTGTTGGTGCAAAGATGTTGTCTGTCGTATTCCCAAAAAACCACCGACGAAATCGTCAAAATGCCCTAAAACGAGCGAGATGTACTGTACCAACACTGCTTCAGTTCCCTCTACAACTATCTATCTATATCTTTGGCCAAAGCAAGCGGGTTCATATCACCAAACAACGAGTCAATGAAATGGCATATCACACTCTTTATGGATTAATTCAGAAAGGATAATAACATCGAGATTTCGTTACATTTGCTTCGACTTGGCTTGTATACAACGGCGCGCCTTGTCGTTTTTTGATGTTGCTACTCTCACCGACAAACGTCTACGATATTCATTCATTCAATCACATATATCACCTGATGATGTCACCTGATGATGTCAACGATTCAAAGGCATGTAAATAGAGGTTACCGTTGTCTGGGCGATCTTATATGGCCATGCATATACACCTGATCAACAAATTACTCATATAACAACGACTACGGACTTACATAACGGATAAAGACAACGGATGGTATCTGGCCTTGAATCTTGGCCTTGAATCTCTCGCTGCTTTCAACGACCCCTACACGGTGGTCATCCAAGAACATGCTTGGTTTGTTGTGGGGAGCTATGCGCATTGACCGTGGTATGGCCAATCTACTGCATGCTTTGAAAGAGAGGTGTGGAATAGGTGTCAGAGTAGTATGTCACCTTCAGCAAAGTTATGCTGGCGTTCTCTTGGTTCGTTGTATCGGTAGTCCTCTGGGAATTCGTCGTGGACGAGGCGGTAATGTCGAGAGTGAGTTGTCCCTCTAAACCGAATAATTTGCTCAATATTGTTAGCCATATGTAGACAAGGATTGAAGCTACATAGATAAAGCTATATAGATAAGATTGAACCTGGATGAGCTCCAGGCTTCACGTCCCTCGACCACCTTGGTGTATTGAGGGACAATAGCTACCTTGTGCTGATCCTACACACACTACTAGAAGGTCACATATGTTGAGAGATATAGCAAACTTCAATCAGTGCAGCTGAGGTTGAACTTCTTACACGTATGCATGTCTTTGGCGATGATAATAATGGAGGTTCTAGAGCTAAGCTCACTTCTGAATCACCTTCCTTTGAGCCACTACAACTGCGTTTGAGTGTGTTGTGTGCTATTTCAAGTTCCAACGCCCCCAAGACCCCCCCAACATCCTGCTACTCTGTGACATGTCCGACGCCACGCCCAACGACAAGTCCTTCACGGACCTCAAGACCCCCCCAACATCCTGCTACTCTGTGACATGTCCGACGCCACGCCCAACGACAAGTCCTTCACGGACCTCAAGTTCAACGGCTGCAAGGCCACCTTTACCGCCTGGAAGGTCCGAAGCATCGCGCACCTCAACTCCAAATCGACTGAAGACGACTACAAGCGTCTCATAAGCCGCTCAACCTGGCGCACTCTGATTGGCTGAAATCTTCCATTTCAGCCAATCATTAACGACGTCGATGTCGCCACCAATATGCCGACATCCGCGACTGCAGAGAGCCTGGGGACTCCTCAATTACCTGCGCATGCAGGATAGCCTGGTCAGGAGCGTATTTGGTAAAGTGCTACCAAACGAGTTACTGACCAACTCCCCGACACGATCAACCACCCCACCTAAACGAGTTTCTGACCAGCTCACCGGCACGATCAACCACCCCACATAAACCTGTCTGAGGTCTGGGTGCGTCTTGATTACACAATTATGCGCTTTTTTTTTCTCGTCTTGTCATCCTCGATCTATGCTAGCACGACCTTGTACCTAGAGTTTATAACTGTACCTACGAAACCATTTAAGTGGTCTCTGATTTGACCAAGAGAATGCGCTCTATGCAGAATCAGCTTAATGAGCTGTATTCGAGAAAATCTTGAAGTCCCATGATACCCGAATATCAAGTCTCCCAGGCAATTGTGGCGGCACTTCCCCATGAGTATTTTGGCTCAAATCTGAACCCAAATGTGAACCAAACTGCCTCTGACACAAAATCATAGTTCGGAGCAGAACGCTACCGTGAGTGGACACTTGCAAAACCTCCCTATTGTAAGTCCTTGCGATTTTGGCTTGGTGACCTGCGGTTGCTTCTCATGTGGTGAGACACTTCCTAGAATAAATCCCTGAGAGCAATGTTTCCACTGTTGCTTACGTAGCCAGTAGCCTGTAACCTTGGAACCACGAGGTCATCGTGTCGGTGGTAGGCCTTGTTGTGTAACAACATCATGTGCATGTGAAACGCACTGGTCGGGTCCGTCGAACGCATTTTTTCACCCATCCACGAGTTGTTGTTCTCAGCTGCATTCCAAGACTTAACCCCAAACGTTGGAAATCCAAGCTGAACAATAGTCCACTGAGAAAAGCACTTGGGACCATGCACAAGGGCCTCCAGGTACGCATGTCCAACTGGTAGGTTTGCTGCTAAACGGTTTATGCCTTTCACAAAGCGCACATCCGTCGCTGCGTTGACAGTGGCGTAGATCGAGGTTTCAGCAACCTTCCCAATTTTTAGGCGTCGGTCACGTAATCACGTAACGTTATGTTGATTTCGGAGACGAGTACAGTATTTATTTTTATCCTCAAAATAACCTCTGAAGTTTTATAGAGTGAGGAAAACTCCGGAACTTAGTCACAGAATGCATCCATCCTGGGGATTCGAATTAACGACCGTGATTGGCCAGATCGGTTGACTTGGTACAACGCTTTTTTGTCGGCACTTGAAATAGAGCATGGAGGATGGAGTCCATCCTCCATGCTCATTTAGGGGCCATCCGATGGACGTGTGGAGGAAGGCCCACATGAAGTAGACGTAAACCAGAGGCGCGATGGGAGCGAGCAAGTCACTTAACGTTACAATGTCCATCGTTATGCATAGAATCCCGTGCATCATCACATGTAGATACTACAAGGAACAACGAAAAGCAACTTAGGCGGCGTCCAACACCGCAGCTTAGTCAGCCACGCCTAGCAGTATTCCGGCCGGGATTGTACCAGTGTCGGATCAACGATATCTTTTAAACACCAGATAAGTACTAACGTTAGTATAAAATCACTCCTCTGCAGCTGGCGCTTTGGTGCCAGTTGCCGAGGCGTACTACGTTAGACTCCTTGCTTTCGCAGCCATGCCTTTCCGAACGTCCTACAGATAGTACAACTGAACTAACACAATATGAGTTTCAATCGATTTGATGCTTCGTATTCCTCTGCCATCTCTAATACTGTAGCCCCAACGCTACAACGGCGAATGCCATGGGACCACTTCACCCCGGCCTCGCCGATCATCCACGAAGTCTATGAATTAGTCTACGGATAGGGAAAGATTGATTTCTCCGAAATGGACGATATAAAATCCCTTGCTTTTACTTTGCTTTCAATTTTTAAGTCATCTCCGAAATCTCCCTAGTTTTGAAGGGCAGGTATGCTACCGTGCGTTTGGGCAAAGTGAATCTTTATTTTTCAAATACTGGTCTGATTTATTAATAGCTCATTCTTTTCTTAATCACTTCGTCTTGAATGGAAGACGATGAATCCCCAGTAGGAGCGAAATTTGAAACAACTATATCTATTTTAATATCCCGTTGTAATGAAAATAGAAACCCTAAACCGATGCACTTATTCCTCGACTATTCGTACGTTAACCTTCAGACCTGAAAAGTGATGCAAGTACGTGGGGAAAAAGTTATGGAAGAATTAACCAATATAGTGATTTTGCACCAAGATCCACACGAAATTTCCAA